TATAGGCAATCTTTGCCAAGTAAACAATGGCAGCATCAACCATGGCATCGCTGTGAAAACACGCAGCATGCAATGGCCAATCAAGATCACAGTAATTTGAAGTACATATTACAAACCAGTGGTTGCAGCACATATGTGCATATGTGGTTCTTTTTAAATCAAAGGAAAAGCATAAACCACATATTAGGGGACACCATGCAATAATACATTACTCCCTCTACCATTAAACCGTTTAATATTGTTAACAATTAAAAACACTATAAGGCAAAAGGTAATATAACAAAAAGAAACCTTCCTTCTGTAAGACAAAGGGAAAGAAAGGTACAGCTTTCTTTCTTCTCTTCTCTTTTTCTTTTTAGGTGCATTATAAACCAAAAGTACAATCAAATTATTCCCAGAGTCAGATTCTGTATCACTAAGCTAGTGATTTTCTACCCCTCATCAACATCCATAGTAGGTCAGTGCATCAAATGCCACCCAGAGGGTTGTTTTCACAAAATTTAGAAGCAACAGTTTGGGAAATGTGAAAGATTGTAAAAAGAAAAGGAACCAGCTTGTTATAGAATCTAATATCAATTTCTGAATGCTGACAAGAACTCTAGAGGCTCTTTGAACGCATTATCGTATGCCACATATTATTTTTGTATGTTAAAGACATTCCATCCCTGGTATGTAATGACTAATGTATACTATATTGGGTTAGTGTGTACAAGTGCTGCATCACAGACCTTGAGACTTAACCATAATGTTGTATCTTGCTAAGAATGGGTTCTGCAAACTGTCTGTTAAGTAGATCTTTTAACTCTGGTTTGTCCATAACATGTTTAGCTTAGTTACACTTCTGAAAGAAACTTGATTCTTTCATCCATTTTGCTTGTGTTGACAATTCTTCAGTTAACTATATTTTATGTGAAATACTTTATTTTGCCTATTCTGTACATATGATCAAGAAGCTCTACTGCAAGTAATTAAATTGTGGTGCTATGAGACAAGGCACAATTTCTCAGTATCAATGCTCTACGCTGTTCATTATTTCATAAATTTCTATCCTGCCCCCCATTCTTTCCCCAAATAATTTTTTTAAAAAACAATAAGCCATGAACGTTTTACTATTCCTTTGTAGAGGAGAAGCTCTAGGCTCTCTCCATTTTCTGTGCTGTTTCTAGTTTTCTACTCCTCCTTCCAAAGTAATATAACAAGAATGCCTAGAATTCAACCCTTTGCGTGAGAATAATTATAGTGAATATAGTCAAATGAAATCTGGCTATTGTTTCTGGAAAGACTTCCAACTAAGAACCTAGAGAATTGATGTCAGAGCTAATTTTACTGGCCTAAACCAATGATGACTGCACGGCAGATATATCTGCCTAGAACTGTACTCTGAATCACATAGTAAAAGGTGAAAGATTTATATGATCTGAAGAGAAACATGGAGAGCAACACATATAAACAGAAAGATTATACATTCTACTCAATTTCGCATAAGACATGGTGTGAGCAAGAGATGGGAAGTGTGCCGTCCTCCCCGAAAGAACAAGTCAAAGTAAATGAGGGATGCGTTGTTGGAGAACTGATAAATCTGGATGCCATAGAAGGAAGGAACAATAAAGGAATAGAAGTGTTCTTAGCGGAAGGTAGACAGGAGGGGGAGAAGGAGGAGCTAAAGTCATGGAGGTGGGATGAGATAAAAGAGGAGGAAAGGAAGGGGTACGGACAGTTGGAGTTGAAGGATGAAGCAGTGCAGACGATAGAGACAGAAGCAGAGAGATATCGAGTGGCAAAGTTAGTGAAAGACTTCCAAAACCTGATGAGTGGAGGAGGGTTACTGCCAGACCCATCAGACATGTCTAAGAAAGATAAGTGTGGAGCAGGGGAGATGAATTTCGGGGACAGTTCAGTCTTTCAAGGTTTCGGAGATGAAAGGGACACCATGTGATTCCCACCCTTATCTCCTGCGGTTGGAGGGGCAATTGGTCAAGCACCCATGTTGAGGGACAACCTGCGCAGTGTTGAGCGCACCCATACTGAACCAAGTGGTCAGCTTTACCCCTGGAGTGAAGAAAATTTGAAAGATGCTAAAGAAGATAAAAATACAAGAGGGAAACATTATCATGTGTTAACTGATGTTGAGTTGTTAGATCCCTTCGGTTTGGGAACTGTTGATGTTAATCGAAATAAAGAACCGTTGTTTGTACCTTCTGTGTCATCTCCATCCGTTCTTCCCGCCGAAACTCCTGGCCCGCCCACACTCACGAAAGAACCCAATCACACATGGTCTAGAATAGATGCATGCTGGATTCCAATAAGCTGGATAAAAGTGATGAAGAATATAGACACACTACCAAGAACTTTTGCTGATCATAGTCCAGTTATTTTACAACTGAATATACAAAATAAAACATCATTCTGGAGAATGAACACTTTTGTTGTTTAGTCGTTAAGTTGTGTCTGACTCTTCGTGATCCAATGGACCAGAGCATGGCAGGCCCTCCTGTCTTCCACTGTCTTCCGCAGTTTGGTCAAATTCTGTCCTTCCAGTAAGCACTCAGGGTTGATTTCCTTCAAAATGGATAGGTTTGTTCTCTTTGCAGTCCAGGGGACTCTCAAGAGTCTCCTCCAGCAGCACAATGCAAAAACATCAGTTCTTTGGCGGCCAGCCTTCTTTATGGTCCAGCTCTCATTTCCATACATCGTGACTGGAAAAACCATATCTTTGACTATGTGGACCTTTGTTGGCAAGGTGGTGTCTC